GTGTGTGTGTGTGTGTGTGTGTGTGTGTGTGTGTGTTCATTGCTACTGGGAAGGCGCTGGCATTTTACATGGTAAATTAGCTACAGCAAAAACAGGTGTTCACTCAGTCAGTATAGAAACACAAAACTGGGAGGTATTATCTAATGAAATATTCATGATAGGATATATTGTAACAAGCTGCATCCTAGGGTTCACAGTTACAGACAATGGCCTCTGATTAATTGGTTATCCTGTCTCTCGTTCTCAGTCTGGTTACTAAGGAACAGCGTGGTCCTAATGAGGAGAGGAACAGAAGCTGAACAGAGGTTAGAGTTCCTGCTGGGTTCAAATCACCCAGTCGTTAAGGATATTTGATGGCATACCAGGACATACATATACAACGTTTTAAGTCACAACAAAACCAGGCTGAAGGTATCTGCGAGATCACTGAGTCRGCACACAGTTTATAAATTTATAATGGAATTCATACCTTCATGCAGGAATGTGACTCTTTGTGTGTGAAAGACTTTCTGTCCTCTGTGAGTCCAGGCTCTGCACACACCAGGTTGGATCACTTCCCTGTTTACATTTCTGTCTGAGTGAGAAAAATAATTCCAATAACTCAGTTCTAATAATAACGTTAAATATCTAGTCGTTCCTGTTGTTTATTGTTCTGTAACGTACTGGAACTGAATGGTAGCAGAATTTATTATGAGCCTTTTCGCTTGCTTTTATCTATCCACATATGGTCAGAACATCAGTTATTACAGCTCTAAAATTATAGCACGAAAAACACTTTGTTCTATCTCCAAATCAGCAAAGATGTGGACAAATATCTTGCCTCTTACATTTCTCATGCAGTTATGACACAGGCCTAACACTATTTTGTTTTTTTGGTTGCTTAGAGAAAATCAGATTGGAGTCCTGCTAGAATAAAATCACTACAGCAGGCCAGATTTGAGTGCACTTTGAAAGCATTTCTYTAACTCTGTACGCAGTCCAACCAAGTTACAGCATCAAAGCGCTGATCCTGTGGGTTCACTTTTGGCATCGAGCTGAATATTATACACAGTTTCCATCATCTTGCTCTCTTTTATCTGCAGGTAAATATTTGGCGTGTGAGTTTACGCTGGAGGATTATTTTAAGCTGCATACTTGTGCATTCGTTTTGGCCTTTCAGCGGACTTTTATCATGCTTGTCACTCTGTCCCAGGCTGAGCAAATGTAATCTGGATGAGGGCAAGACCRTGCGGCTAACTGTTGCTGCTGCTACCGCCAGACTGGCTCCAAGATTATGTCCTGTATAATTTTATGTAACTTTTGAAGGAATGCATGCCTTCAAAGAACATTGTGGCAGGGCAAAATGTTCAGAAGCTAATTCACTTGTTGAGCCTTAACATTTATTTTTGATGTAGCCTTTTTTTTAAATGTAGCTGTATTGAATTTGACAAAAAATCAATTTACACAAAACTTTGAAAGGTAGTTGTATCAACCACAACACTATTACTGAGAATTTTCATTAGATTTAGCTTTATCCTAATGATTATTTGAGCAAAAGGGGACGGCCAGCTGTTATTAGGCAGGAAGGTCAGTGTTGATTCTGCTGTTGTAAAGATTGTTGGATTGATTCATGAACCGTTCAGTGCTGTTTGCGCAGCTTGTTGTGTTCTAATAAATGTGTTGAAGCAGTAATCTCTGTGATGTTAAGTCTGAATCGTAACAGAAGTTAAACATGCAGTGGAAAACACAATGCAAAGGCAAGACATTTTTTTGGACAGAAGCCCAAGTCTGCATGTATCGCACAAGTTATTTTTACATCTTGGACTAAAACGAGACCCACAGCTCTCCGAAAGTGAACAAAAGATCAAATATTTGACATTTTAGTCACGTCTTTCCTGTAACCTGAAGCTATAGTGATTTTTTTTTTACCCCCCACCTCCTGTCATTTAAAGCTTCTCTAAAATCTTGACATTTGTATTTGTCTTTCTCTTCTGTGCCTTCTGGTAGACCAAACCAGTTGCATTTGCTGTTCGCACAAATGTCAGCTACAGCTCGAGTCATGACGATGATGTCCCCGTGCCAGGGATGGCYGTCTCCTTTGAAGCTAAAGACTTCCTCCATGTCAAAGAGGTGAGGGACTGTTTTTCCACTGAGTGTTGATATTCCCAAYAGGGACGTTAGTAAGAAAGGTGCTCAACGTAGCTGTCGTGCTATTTTGTGTAGAAATTTAACAACGACTGGTGGATAGGACGCCTGGTGAAAGAAGGTTGTGAAATTGGCTTCATTCCCAGTCCGGTGAAGCTWGAAAACACTCGCATCCTCCAGGAGCAGAGAGCCAAACAGGGCAAGTTTTACTCCAGGTAAGAGACATGGTTGGAAATTAAGATTAGAGATGCAMCGATTCTGGTTTACTGATACTGATTTCCGGTTTTTGAATAGCTCTGATATACTGCTACCAATTTTCTTTCAATAATCCAAACCGTACAAAGTCATACACACTGCTGTCAAGTAAAAAGTAGCTATTTAATGTTCTTAAAACTTAAAACATGATCTAGGTGATGGAGGGACAAAATGTGAGTGAAAAACTCTCTTAAGTAATGTTTAGAACTACAATTGTACTTAATGAAATTATTTATGACTTTAATGATTTGCCTATAACCACATAACCACCACAACGTTAATTTTTCCTGTACATTTTCATGTAAAAAATGTTAAATTTAAGATTTAAATTTATATTTAAACACTGGAGATGGAAATTAGTAAGTAAGTAAAACTTTATTTATRTAGCACAGTTCAAGATAGAGATCACAAAGTGCTTCAACGAACACAAACAAAAGTTTAATTAAATAAAAATAGACAGAGCAAATTTCAACAAAGCAGATTAAAAAAGGTAAGTTTTTAACTGAGCTTTAAAGGAGTCCACAGAGTCAGCTGATCTTAAATTCAGAGGAGGAGAGTTCCAAAGCCTTGGAGCCGCAGACGAAGAAGCTCTGTCTCCTTTAAGTCTTTAATTTTGTCCGAGGAACAATCAGCATGTCTTTATCACAAGACCTCAGAGCCCTGTCAGGAGTGTAGAAATGTAAAAGTTCAGAAATATAGTGTGGTGTCTGTCCATGCAGAGCTCACCAAGTCAAAACCAAAATCTTGAATTTCACTCGATGAACTGGAAGCCAACGGAGTTKCATTAACAGTGGAGCCACATGACAAAACTKAGAAGATCTGGTCAGGAGCCTGGCAGCCACATTCTGCACAGACTAGAACCGGTCGAGAGAGGTTTTAGTTAGGCAYGTATACAATGCATTACAATAATCTAAACGAGATGAAACAAAAACRTGAAGTAAAGTTTCCATTTCTGAATGAGATACAATGGGGCTGAGCTTTGCTATATTTCATATATGGTAGAAACAGGAACAAACCAAAGTTTTAACATGATGATCCRGTGTATCAAAAACCATCCCAAGGTTTCTAACTGAAGATTTTGCCAGACTGCCAAGACTGCCAAATTAGCTCGCACATTATAATCTAAAATAGTTCATCTTTACTACATCAGGGTTTATGTGATCTTCTATTCATGGTTCGCAAATAAATCACTGTTAAAATGTTCTACATTAAACTGCCCTTCTTTGTCTAAAATTGGAACTGTCTGTGTCCAGAGACACTCAAGCAGTTGTTCTGTTGTATGTTTTAATGCTTTACTTCTTAGAGCCCACAACATATTACAGTAAAATATTTTATTTTATGTTATTACTGTTTAATCTTTGCAAAGATTTTTTTTATCTGGTCACCAGTTTTAGCCAATCAAGTTGAAAACTGGTTTCAGGCCATTCGCTTGGTGCATCCCTAATTAAGATATTTTCTTTGATTTTCCGTTCATTTGATGGTAATTTAGATTTCTCTTGTGAAGTCTTGGTTTTCTGACATCACAAAAATCTGCCGTTTCAGTAAATTGGGAGCAAACTCATCATCTAGTTTGGGTGAAGTGGTTCCTAACTCGAGAAAATCTACTCCTCCATCATCTGGTGAGTAGCAGTTTTAGAAAGAAAAAAAAAACAATTTTGTCCTTAATATATGTTTTGGTTTTGTATAACAATCTTTAACTACTTAAATTAATGTAAAGATAAAATGCAGTCATCAGTTAAATAGATGTTATGTTGCGTAATTTCCCTTTGGGATCAATAAAATATTTTTGATTGATTTTGATTTGTGGCATATATGTATTTTCAGTGTTTCATTAACTATGTTTACATGCTGTGGTGGAACTAATACTTTTGTTTAAGCTAGTTATTCATGACATCCTTTAATGACCCAGGTTTTCATGACATGCTGTTCATCTGCAGATAGAATGATTAAAGTCAGAACAAGATTTGCTAACAACAGTCATTCTTAGATATCACTTGTGTTTATCTTTGTGTTTTCCATTGACCTTGTATCAAATCTTGCTAAGATGACATAATGGTGTTTGTTAATATATATATGAGGCCTCTCGAGACACAGTGAGTAGTGTGGAGAGACAGTGACAGAGAGAAGCAGAGGCACAGAGACAGGCCAGGTTGTTGTCTGTGTTTCCTGTTGTTGCAATAAAACTCAGCTGATCATCTCACGGAGTACCTTCATTCTTGGACCACGTATTTCTGTCTTTGTTAAATAAATATTGGAATAACACATGCAAAAACTAATTTGATTGGACTGAAATGGATTCAGATTAAATAATCTGAATGTATCATTTAWATGAGCACAAAATTAATTAACCTGATCATGACGAGCGTTTACATGCACCATGCTTTTATTCAGAATAGAAATRCTGACATGACAGATCAGAATATTCCAACTGGTGCATTAATGACACATTTGTGTCCTGATTGGCTGTTTATTCAGATTAATTATGTGCATGTAAACATAGCTAATGACTGTTTYGTAGTATCTACATTCTGTGCTGTAATTGGTGTGTAACGTTTCTCATCACCAGYGATCTCCTGTTTATTTTTGATGTTGGTCTTGTGTGTCTGTGTGGGTAGCTGTTGACATAGACGCCACAGGTTTAGACCCTGAGGAGAATGAGCCCTACGTCAACATGCGCTCCCCTAAAGCCAGTCCAAATACGGTTATATCACCCCTAGCAAAAGAGAAACGAATGCCCTTTTTTAAGAAGGTAAAATCAACACCACTGTCCCTCTCACTTCTCCCCTGTCCGCCGGCACGGCTCTCACCTACAATGCCTGCGGCTGCCGGACACTCGGTTTCTGTCCTGTTTGTCAACACCATCGTCCTTGTCCCGCGAAGCACACTCTGCTATTAGCATGCATGCCTGTTCTTAACCTCTTTCTCTTTCCTTCTCCGTCCCACCACAGCTAAGCAGAGGCAGAAGTCGGTAAGTTTAGGAGTGCAGAGCAGCAGCACAGCAGAGTCTGGACTGAACTGTGCAAACTCTACATTTTCCCAACAAGAGACTTCCCCTCTGTTCTGACCCCTCACGCCCCTCACTATGCCTGCAAACCTCTGTGTAACTGTGACTGTGATCTTGGAATGCTAACTTAGTGGGATCTCAGTGTGAGCTTTAATTCATCAATAATCTTTATCTGTTTGGATTTGGTTATTGATAGGAATATTGCTCTTATATGTCATTTCAAATGAGTTATCGCAAGAAAAACAAAAAAAGAAGGGAAAGTGCTAGTTTATAAACAGCAACTCATGGCTAACAGTAAATGTTTCTTAGTAACAACATCAATATACATTTTACAATCAGATGGAAAATGTTCAAATATTTTAATTGGAAATTCAGGCGTGCACAGTGTGACATTAAGCCGTGTTTCACATGATCGCACTGTGTTAATAAGATGGGCTGGATCAACTGAAAGTATTTGAGCTGAATCACATTGTTCAATAATAGCTCGGTTCAAAGCCTGCAGCAGCGTGCATCAGTTCCCACAACGTCCCCGGGGAAGCTCAGTGACCACAGCAAATGGTAGAAAATGTTTAGAAGCGGGTTGATCAGTAAAAGCGGGCTGATGGACTGCAAGAAAGAAGTCATAATAAACCCCCTGAAACACTTCTCTCAAAGACAAAACAAGCAGAGCCAGTRAAGAGTGACAGAAAATATGTTCAGTGCTTCCCAGCTGCCTGGCCTCCAAGTTTCAGCTTAGAGATCATCAAATGTTTTTACTTTCGTAAATAAAGAACTTAAATGTTTTTTTAGTGTGCTGACGTATCTGCACGTCCTTCAAAACAAACAGCTCATTTAGACAGAGCAGCGTCACGTTGAYTGCCTGTCAAATTCAAACTGAAAGCACAGAAATTAAAAGTTAAAATAATAAAGTTAGTATAGAGATTAGAATGAACTATATTCCATCTCAATTCACAAATGATGTTGTAGTACGTATACAGTTGTTTTTATACATCATTTATCTGATATTTTCAAATAAAACAGTGTTACTGCTTTATTTTTCACGAGCATAAAATGCTTATTAAACAATATCTGCTGCTGAAAATGTACGTCTGTATTATGGCAGACAGCTTATTTTTATACCCACAGCGGTGAACCAAAGCTGCAAAATTCCAACATGGTGCAAGTATGAGTTAACCTAAAATCAAAAAATGATTGACTTCTAATTGTGCATAAAGTTGAACCATAAATTACTGTAGCTTTAGAAACGAAAGGAAAGATGTTTATCATGCTTTTAAACAAGAACAGTAAGCACACAAAACATGGRCTTTACATCATGATCTAAAGTAAAAACAAGCCTAAGACGAGCTAAAATTAGTAAAAGTATAAATAAAAGCTTMAATTAAACAAACCAGTAGGTAAAAGCAAAAATAAGCCAAACTGTCTTAAAGTTAAAATTTGTCAATAACAAAGTTAAAAGCTACAACTATCTGAACAGTAATTATAAGCTAAAATTAGCAAAAATGTGCCTAAAAAATATAAGTAGTAAAACCATAGCACAGAATCACTAAAAGTAAAAATTAGGTAAGCAGCTAAAGTTGAAAGGAGCATAAGCATAACATGACTTAAGCAAAATTTGTAAATAAAGTCAAATATTTTCAAAAGTATAAAAGTTACAGAAATGAAAATGTATAGGAGTCATCTTATGAATGATGTAAATAGTTTGATATATGAATAACTGAAATAAGGGATGCACAAGTAGTTAGATTAAAAAAACAGGAAAAAATACAGGAAAACAATAACATGAATGCTGCATAAGAATTCACACAATGAACAAATAATGAAATGAGCCAGTTTAAAAAATATATTCAGTAAAGTCATTGATATAACTCAGGCAGCTGGATTATAAACTGGTTTAATAGTGAGGCTACTCCTTGAACTGAGCTCCCACTTTGACAGCAGCAAGCATGATTTTCTGTCCTGAAGTTTTTCAGTTGTAGTCTCTGTTGACCTTTTGTCCTCTTCTCTTCTCTGAATAACCTTTTCTGTTATAATTTTCGTATTTTTTTATTTTTTGGATGTTCTGTGCTCTGTGACATCAGGACCATGAGATGAGTTTCACCACATAATTGATCATAGTAGCATTTTTAAAAACTAGTGAAGAAAACTGATATTTTTTATACATAAAACAAACCTGCTTATGTTTTGGTATCCTTACTGAGGCATCCTGTTTCATGGTTCTGAAGTTTGCCAGTATTTTTTGAATAGTTGACTTATGTGTTTTAACAGCTTTTAAAGTATTTTATTACGGTTTTCATTCTGTCTCCTTAAATGTGTAACTGAGTTACTTYTTTTTCTCCCTTTAAAAGACAGAACACATTCCTCCGTACGACGTTGTGCCTTCTATGCGGCCGGTAGTTCTAGTCGGACCGTCGCTGAAGGGCTACGAGGTGCTTCGACATTTCAAACACAACCTTTATTTTCTCCCTTGCTGAAATGAAAATCGGGTCCCTAATCACCTCCTTTTTTTAAATCTCATGTCAACAGGTGACAGACATGATGCAAAAGGCKCTGTTTGACTTTTTGAAACACAGATTTGAGGGAAGGTAAGTTCCCTGTGATGCTAAAATCCAAGCTCTTATCCCACTTCCTTCCCCATTCTTCCTTTCTTCACATCTATAGGCTGGTATTTATCTGTCCCCCGAGGTTAGCTGAGGTAGTGTGCAACAAGTTTGTTTGGCCTAGAGATGTGTGCTGCTGCTTTTAATAGGCCCTCTACATGTCCTTAATAGGCTATAGTGAGTCGTGCAGCAGAGCGGGATTCTTCTTATTCATTGTTGAGAACATGAAGTTACACAACACAAAGATCCACTCAGGATGTCAGCGATGAACTTTGTTTATTTGTTTGTAATTTATTAAAATAAGTTTATTTGTCATTTGACTTTTGATTTGAAGTTTGATTATATTTTCATAATTTTTCACTTGAGAGTCACAATGTGTAAAAC